AATGTATTCCGCATACTTCTCACGCATTTAATTTCACCCCAAGGGAAATGATATTTCTTTAATACCAATATTTAATTCAAAAATTGTGAAACGACTCCTATCATGTTTTAGATTTCAACTTCTGTTTTAATGGAATAATTTTTAAAAGAGATTAAATTCCATGGAATGAATAGTTAAGTAGAATCAACGAGCTTCTCGCAGACAGACAACACCACTTTATTGTCATTGTATCCATCTCTGTCTAACTAATTGTCATGGACAACTTTTTCAGTGGTAATATGGTAATAGAGTACAGAATTACTCCTCCCCGCACAAAAAGAGCAATCAATCATGCAAACAAACAAAAATCACCAAAACCCATATCCATTCAAAAATAACAAGACCCCCCCCCCCCCAAAAAAAAGATAAAAATTAAACAAATGAGTATCAAAATAAACAAATTAAACTAAAAATAAGAAGAGTATTTGCAATTGTAAAGTATTCATTTGAGATGTGGGTGATATTTCAATGTCACAGCAACCCAACATTGCCAAACAGATATTTTGCTTGGTAAAGACACTTAAGAAAAGAAGACTGCTAGCTGTTACTGTTGGTTTCCTGTGCGTGTCAATATATTGGTTATATTTAGCCCACTGCAGCTTGATTTTCATAATTTTAGGTAATAAATTAAACCAATTCATACCTCTAATTAATTGTTTCAGAATAGAAGGGATAAGAAATCGTATGTACTCCGTTATAAGAACAGCTAATTTAAGTTTTATTCTCACGCAAGTTCTGTGTATTTTGTACAAAAGTCAGATAGGGACATTCTATTTTTAAAATTTCTCATTTCTACTTTTACATTCATCGGTTCCAAGTTGACATTTCTCAGGTCCAACGTGGATGTGAGAAATGTAAACGGAACTGAGAAATGACCAGTTGGAACTGAGAAATGTCCAGTAGGAACTGAGAAATGTCAATTTGGAACTGTGAAATGTCAATTTGGAATCATTACTTGGAAACGAGAAATATCAAGTTTGAAATGAGAAATTAATTCAACAGAGAACAGAGTGTCCATACATGTCTTTTGCAGTTTTGGCTTTTCTAACTGGGGGTCTAAAGTGTACCTCGTTAAAATTATTCAAGGAGCACTTGACGTTCTCACTGAAATCAATATCAAACTTTTTTTTAACCATGATTACGTTACAAGTTTCTGGTCAGAGATAATTTTTAAACTAATTTCGGTAAATTACACAAGTTTAATGAGAAGAGCAAAGGTGTATGTATACTGAGAGCAATAAAAGTGTCCCCGAACTAGCAAAAGCTTAAAATCATCCCGATCATTCATTTACATTTTAACTGAAACATTTTTTTTTCAGTTTGAGTAAGGTTTTACCAATATTTTAATACTTCAAAAAATACTGCACATACAATGAATAAAATCACGAACAACACGATCATACTGTTCTTTTTTGTTTAAAGGTTTTGGTAGGTTGCTGCATGTTTAAAGCATTTCCCACATTTCTTTTCACTCTTGGTTATAAAAAAAATGAAGTGGTCGTAAGTATACTGCTAATCAGATGAATAATAAACATTTTTCATCCTTTCAAACAAATGTCTTACTCTCAAGAAAAGTGCGCTATGATAAATGGCACTAATACCAAGTGGGCAAATCATCTGTTAGAATCAGATGATAAATAGTAGCAATAGTTGTTAGCTCTACTTCCTGAAGATGAAACTGGACAAATGTATTAGTTTTTTGTTAGCAACAAAGCACATAACTCATGCTATAAGCCTTACAGCAACATAGCAAAAACACAGAAAGTACGTTGACACTTCTTAAAAACACTAGACAATTTTTCCACTCCTTGGTATTTATATTTCTTCACTGATTTAATTATTTTAATGAAAATGTATTGTAATTCACTCAAACATGCAAGCGAATACTTCTGAAAAGGAAATATAAAATCTTCTTTAGTAAATATTATTGAATTATTCCGCTATTCATCATTCTTATCTGGTGCTCAGACTGACGGAAAAGACAGTAAATGGAAGTAGAACGAAACCCTTCAACACTATATTTCTTTAATTTTTAAACAAATTTATCAAGTAAATAGGAAATCAGCTGTAAGAAGACATACATAAATTTATTTATTTATTAATCAGGTCCAAAATGCAGTTGGCAGATGATAATGATAATAAAAAATAAATAATCATAGATACCAGGCTTATAATTTTGTATTTATATAGATATAAGAAGATGTGGTATCAGACAATGAGACAACTCTCCATCCAAGTCACAATTTGTAAAAGTAAACCATTATATGTCAAAGTACGGCCTTCAACACGGAGTCTTGGCTCACACCGAACAGCAAGCTATGAAGGGCCCCAAAAATGACTAGTGTAAAACCATTCAAATAGGAAAACCAACGGTCTAATTTATATAAAAAACGAGAAACGAGAAACTTAATTATATAACTTAATTGCATTTTAACTGTTGTACTAGTATTATATACTACATGTTACAGTCTTTATGTCTGTGTAGTTGGTTTGTCTGTGTAGTTGGTTTGTCTGTGTAGTTGGTTTGTCTGTAAGTTTATGCTAGTTATCCAACACTATCATTTTTCTCAATATGTACCACTATGGATCCATAATTGGTAATAAAGTATGTTGTACGCACACAATTAAAATGTGTATACACTTAGAATATATTCCTCGAAAGAGAGATATTTACATAACTGCAGAACTATTCTCTATTTTGTTAGTTGTGTCCAACCTTGTTCTCAAGTGACAACGATTTGAACATACAGTATGCACGAGCATCAAAAATTGATTTTGACGATTTTTCTCACGAAACATTATACATTTCATTGTTTTATTTAGAATCACAGTAATAACAGTGTGGTAAATTTGGTGTTCCAAAAACTAATATACCCAGATTTCCCGAAACTTCACAGTCAGATTTTCAGAAATAAACAATCTAGAAGGACAATACAATACCAAGCTGCTTTTCGTCGTGTTAGAATTTAAAAGATTGAGAATGATTTTATTGTTCGTACATGTACATGTACATCAAAACTAATAATTAATATGACGTTACGTTATTGGTTATTTATCAAACGTTTAGGTTTCTATGTATGTTGGCGTTTTCTTTTGTTGTAGTTAAGTGTTCCTGTTGTTCCGTTGCTTTCCTCGGATGGTTGATGTGTTTCTCTCGGTTTTAGTTTGTTACCCGGATTTGTTTATGCTTAATCGAAATATGACTATTGAATAGCGGTATACAACTGTTGCCTTTATTTCGGACGATTTTAATCAATCATAACGTTTAAAAGGTACGCGTCTGAAAATATTTATCCGGATGAATTAAAATCAATAACGGTGAACAGCAAAAATGTTCGGACAAATAAACAACTAATGGAGAAAACAACGGACACTTGTACATGGAAACATGTATAAACAAACATTTGGGATTTAAGAGGTAAAAAATTGGTAACATGGGCCATATGTAGGATATTACAGCAATGACTGAACACCTTCAAAGTGTGTATGACTCATTTGAGTAGTTCCTGTGATAGTTTATGTGCTTCATCTGATACTATACACAATCTATTGAATAGGCAAATAATTGAGCAGTTTCTTCACCTCACATATGTGGTGTAACTTGTAAGAAAAGGGAACTTTACTATTGTGAAATTTGAATTTATCAACATTTACAAATAGCATGATAATGATTAATTATAACTTGTGTCATTGAAATGAGTTATATGCACCTTATTTTCAAAATGTTATGTTATATATTTGATAGAAAAATGTTAATCCTAACGGTTTACAGGAGTTTCCTTTATTTAATTACAAAACAAATTGTACAATTATTAAATATGTGACATTAAATGTCCTAGATTTTATTTACCGGCTCCGTCGATGTTTTAACAGGGATGATTTTCATCAAAGCATATGTGACTTGTAAAAGGCTCATATTCTACAAGGGTTTTACTTCTTCGCAGTGAGTTATGATAAAGCATGATCTTATTGAAACATTACTTGTAGCGTGTCTTTCATTCGATTTAAAAGACAGTTGAATTTCTAAACCACGGAGAAATCAGCAACACAACATTTAAAAATAACCATCATGAGAGAACATTACAAAATTTTCAAACACTGAGTTTTACCACCAATGTCATTCGTGAGGCCGTCTTTAATATCTTTTTACTTTAATTGTGATGCAGATTTTTTTTTTTGTATTTCCATCCTTAGATGAACTCGCAAGAGAAATGACACTTAACACTTTATACAATTAATGATCTAATTTCAAAATAGCAATTGCTTCTTTCAGTGTTTTGTTGCAGCGGTTGTTTTTATGTTATTCCATCAACGGAAAACTAATTCGAACAATAACGAGTATTTTCCTATTCATTTCGTGGACGCAAAAAATAAATACTAGTAAAATATTGTAGAATTTTATTTAGTCAGAACAATCAAGTTCGCCTTTTAGTAGTTAGCTATCATTTAAATGGTTATTGCTCGTTATTTGACATTTTAATTCGACTATTCTGAATTTACAGCCTCTATATACTGCTTTTACGCTAAAAGAATCTTTATATGTAAACAAAAGCATACTTTCATTTAATGTTCTATGCTAAATGGATTATTTTACGTCATTTATTTTATTAATATGACATTTGAATAAACATAAAACATAAATAGTTGTCAATTTTCGGAGAAGAAAAACAGTATTTATCCTCAATTTTGATTAGCCTCGATCTTAATCAAAATTTTAATTTGACTTTTATTGAAATAAGCAAAGTTGTTTCATTGCAAATTTGAATGAAATTCTTTTCGAATAATTAAATTATTTATTGTGGAACACTGTTTTAATACAAAAACCCATGTTCACTATTTTTCAACCTCATTAATGACAATGATTCAGCTTCAATAGTCCAGCCTGTTAAATTCAAAATACGTAAAAATAACGGTAAAAAAAATTGTTGACAAAAATGTGTAAAACATTAATAAAATCTTACCTTTGCGTCTCCAGTTTCTGTGTGAAATATACACACTGCTGCTAAAACTAAAACAGGAAAAGTTAACGAAGCCATAATTATCTGTATCACTCTATCTGATGCCACTTATACTGAAAAGACCAAGTCCTTAATATTATCCTATATATGTATCATTTAAACACACCCACAATCCAGATCTACGTCATACCACGTGACACGCCGTAGTCAACGTTCCACGTTTCAAAAAGATCATTATATTAATAATTAATTCAAACTAATACCGGACAAATATTTGTGAGGGAATATCGCACTGCGGAGGGCATTGTTTTATGTTCGATGTTGATGTTAGCAGGTAGATTGAGATATTTCAATAGTAGATGCTAAACAGGGGTCATTGATGCATGTGATTCTATATTTGTTCTTGCGGAAATCAATTTGCACTCTGAAATTACTTTTAGCTCCATCCATATCAATGTAGTTATTTTATACAGAAATTACACGAAGGAAAAATCTTTAATAAAGTTTGTTTAAGTAACTGATAATGAGAAAAAAACACAATGAAATTTCATTTCTCATACTGCATGCATTCTTTCCTTACATGACTATTCCAATTGATGTAACAAAATTATATAATTCATGTATATATCAATCAGCTTAAACTACATTAGACGCAGAAACTAGATACAGACATGTGCATGGTTTAATATTTGTCATTTTATTCATCCTACATGTAGCGATGATTTATAAGAATCATTTTAATTTTATCATTGTTTCGCTTCGATTCAATTACATGCACATGAAATATGCCATCAAAAATAATATAAACAAAATAACAGCAGGTGTAGATATTCTATACGAAATGCTAAGTTCTTATTTACTTGTCTGATTTTTGTACATAATCTCAAAGACTTGAACAAATACGTCCATTCTTAAGTTCAAATCTATGTATGAAAAATATGTAACGATGGAAATTAAACAAATTAAAATTCTATATCATACTAACTTAAATTAAAAAGGAAACACAATAACAGTTCTTCACTGGACTTGATATTGTAGAGGATACGTCAATCCTAACATCAGCTGCGAATTCACATTTCAAGCACATTATCATAAAGTAAGTCCATTCATTCATTCATTAATTCATTCATTCATTCATTCATTCATTCATTCATTCATTCATTCATTCATTCATTCATTCATTCATTCATGTGCATTCATTCATTCAAGTGCATTCATTCATTCATTCATTCATTCAGTCAGTCAGTCAGTCAGTCAGTCAGTCAGTCAGTCAGTCAGTCAGTCAGTCAGTCAGTCAGTCAGTCAGTCAGTCAGTCAGTCAGTCAGTCAGTCAGTCAGTCAGTCAGTCAGTCAGTCAGTCAGTCAGTCAGTCAGTCAGTCAGTCAGTCAGTCAGTCAGTCAGTCAGTCAGTCAGTCAGTCAGTCAGTCAGTCAGTCAGTCAGTCAGTCAGTCAGTCAGTCAGTCAGTCAGTCAGTCAGTCAGTCAGTCAGTCAGTCAGTCAGTCAGTCAGTCAGTCAGTCAGTCAGTCCAGTCAGTCAGTCAGTCAGTCAGTCTTTCAGTTTTTACATTTTTGTACAATACTAGTATACAGTTATAAACATAAGAACTATATATACAGTTATAAATATGGAAAAAGTTTGACATTTATTGTTGTCTATTCTACAGTTCTTCATAATATATTATTACGATAAATATGCCATACATAACTATAATAACATATAAAAATAAGGAGATGTGGTATGATTGCCAATGAGACAACTATCCACCAAAGTTCAAATTAAATGGATGTAAGCAATTAAAGGCAATCGTACGGCCTTCAACCATAAGAAAAAACCCATACCGTATAGTTGGCTATAAAAGGCCCCGACATGAAAAAATATGAAACAATTCAATTGAGAAAACTAACTGCCCAATTTATAACAAAACAATTTACGAAAAACAAATATGGCAGACATGAACCAACGACAACCACTGAACTACAAGCTCCTGACTTGGAACAGGCATTTATAGAATGTGGCAGGGTTAATACAGGATTTATAGAATGTGGCAGGGTTAATATAGGATTTATAGAATGTGGCAGGGTTAATACAGGATTTATAGAATGTGGCAGGGTTAATACTGGATTTATAGAATGTGGCAGGGTTAATACAGGATTTATAGAATGTGGCAGGGTTAATACAGGATTTCACCTGTATTTGTTTCACTCTCAGAATAAAAACATCAGAAAGATTAAAAAAAGAACACTGAATTATTATAGGCAATAGTTTTCAACAATTTTACGTATTTCCATAAAACTAAAATGGTATTCGGCGCTATGTATTGCTGAGAAATTCAATATTGTTACAAAACTTTTCGCAGGATACTTGTAACAATTGCAAAATAAATTAATATGTATCTGTAAAAAAATACATATAATTACTTTCAATAAAATCTAAACATTGGTTTTGATTTAGAGCGTTCTTTTTGTGCATTATTTTTTTTAATACTAATCATTTGCTAAATATCAGTATCAATATTGCTGTTTTGAGCTATTTGTAGGTACTCTTTTAGTATTTGATATTTGGTTATGTTTAGGAATTAGTCAATGTTATGAGGACCTCAAAGTACATCTGAAGCTATTATTTGAAAATAATATATAAAATTAATAAACTTTATGAAAATGGCCAAGATATGGAATGGCTTCAGGGAGATTTGGCCGTACATCTTTCTTTACAATCAATAAGTATTTCTTTTTAACACGTTTGTGGTTTCAAAATTCTTGGGAATATTAATGTTGAAAGGTTATTTTTAGCAAGTCACTAGATAAAAAAAACCGCACACATATCTTAATTAAGCATAAGCCATATACAAATATCAAATAACATTCTATTATTCCTTGATATTTGCAATATTTGTCATGATAGAAAAAGATTAACATTGCCAAATCAATTAAAATATAAAGTTTTCTCAATTATTACACTTCCAATAGGTGCATTCTCAATAGAAATATCGTTATATACACGCTATAGGAACGGTTATCGATAACTCAAGTCTCATGTCATATAATAAAAGAGAACAAATTGGCTTTGTGGTTTCCGCGTAATGCTCTTGTTTAGTATTAACTAGTTTATCCTTAACATATGGACGATAATATAATTACTACACTATATGATCTAATTATAACGTCATCACTAGACTAAGGTATAAGAGTCAATTACCTTCATTCCTGGAGATGGACCAAATAATTTGAATATGTTTTTAACAAGGGTATGATGTGCTTATAAAGATAACGTTTTTTATAATCAAAATTACAAGTTCAATGGGTATGCATTAACAGTAATGACGCAAACCATATAGTATCGTGTATCAGTATCAAAATAAGGAGATGTGGTATGATTGCAAATGAGACAACTATCCACCAAATTTCAAATAAAGTGGATGTGAGGAATCATAGGCAACCGTACGGCCTTCAACAATGAGAGAAACCCATACTGTAGTGTATAGTTGGCTATAAAAGGTGTTTATTTTCAATTGCGATGTTCACTGGCAGTCGTTGTTATGAATAAAGGTAGACGTGATCGACGTATACGTCAATCAGACCACAACCAAAAGACAAAAATAACCAAAAGACATACAAAGGTCAACCTTCAGTATTCAAGATTAGACAAGTGTTTATATATGTCGTGATCTTAGACTAGATCACCACGTGTCACTAAAATGTGAAAAAGGTCTTTGAGTATGCATTATAAGAAATTACATAAGCTTTATGCACCCGTCTATTTAAATTACACTTCCGCGAGATCACGGTTCCGTGAGTGAACTGATAGGTCCGTCTATTTTTGGCCGTGAGTTTTTTTGTCATCTATTGAATTCACGCAGCGTATTAGGTGGACAATTTTCGTTTTTACATGACATCTTACCACTGGATTTTTCCGTGAGCAGCTGGGCTAGTGTCAGAGTGGAGAAGACATCGATTATCCTTATTTTGTTTTTAGTTTTATTGGGTTGCAAAAAGTAATTGTGTGGGCTCATGAAGGAAGCTGAAGTAGTTGGCATAAATCCGAAATCGATGGTAATGACGGAAAGGATTTCAGAATATAATTGTTTGTTCTGAATTATTCCCCAACTACCCCAAAAATAAATAATCTTTATTTAGGATAACAAACTACAGTTTACGTACAACATCTAGTGTAGAGAGCAATATTTATATGATCTGTGGGTGGGACAATACAATTATGAATTCCAACCACTACCATAGCGGTGCTAATTTTTTCTGTGGCGAAGAACACATTTTTTCGATTTTGTCGCCATGAAACAAAAGTACAATGTTGGAACTTTTCTAAATTTGGACAAAAAATAAAAAAAGTTTGTAACGTTGGGAAAGTAAAAATTGGATGCGATTCCCATGGAGCATAATTACTCCGTGGGAATCGGATTCAGATTTAATTTACCCATCGTTATAAACTTTTCAATAATTGCTCCTTGGGATTCGGATCTCTCCGCGGTTTCCGATCGGGATACCCCGTGTGAATTAGGACACCGCCAATCGCAGCATGCTATGCCGAAACTTTCCTTGTGCAAATATGAATGTTTACATGACATTGTGTGATCCCGGCAATCGCAGCATGATATGCCGACACTTACCTTGTGTAAATGTAAATGTTTACATGACATTGTGTGATCTCGGCAATCGTAGCATGCTATGTCGAAACTTACCTTGTGCAAATGTGAACGTTTACATGACATTGTGGGATCAACTTGATTGTTAATATGTGACCAGCCATGAGATTTTCAGGCTAAGGGAGATCCAGGTTCAAAATGATTTTTTTTTTTTGGCATTTTTATTTATGAAGTAAACATGATTCAAAACACACTGACAATTTTTTTTTGCTAGATTCTTTCAAATAACATTATTTTTGTTAGTTTCGACTTTATTAAAAATTATCATTTTTGTTTTCAATTTTTCACGTTTATGTTCATCTATCATAGTTGCTATGTTATATTGTTTTGTTTTGTTTTGGTTTTTGGAAAATGACGTAGTCAATTTTTCTATACCATTGACCAGCTTCCAAGCCGCTTTCCGATCTCGGTTCCGTATTTTACATACTTATGTACCATACAGAATTTCATTCTTAACCTGTCCATATTTTCATTGTTATTAAATGGTATTTTGAGCTATCCCTTTGGCA